TGCAATGTCACTTCAACACGCTGGACCTGTTTTCGAGATCATTTCAAGATATTTCTGAAGAAGTCCTGATTCTGTTTACCTTTGTGCACAATCCCACCTCTGACGAAAAAATTCACGATAATCGTCCTCACCCTGGATCTGCTCATGTGCACTTTCTTACGAAGATAAGAATTTTCATGTCTCATTCCTTAATTTGCCGTTCGGTCTCGGAATCACAAATCTAATGGCGTGTCTTGCACAGGCGGCAATGAAACAATATTTCTTTATTTGTTTATGTATTTAATCGAAAATTACTGTATCCAAGGAATTTGGCTCCATTAAGGGTCTTCCAACCAAAGCCACATAAATTTCCAACTGCTTCTCTTTACCTTCCACAGGCCACTCTTTTGACATAACTTTTGCCCAAATTTTTTGCATTCATAAAACCTTTACAGAGCAACAGTAGTAGTAGTAGGGGGAATTGGATGGCATAGGTAGGAATTCGTCACATCTAGACTCACTCTGACAGTGAGTTCATAGATGTGACGAATTGCTACCTATGCCATAAAATTTTTGTTAAGTTTTTATGGACTGCAGTTTTATCCAGGTATGTCACTTTTGCAATCATCGTGACTCGTGATCGGCAGTCTTTCGCCAGCACATCTCACACAAGTTCCACATTTTGATCATTCTTGAGAAGATTGGCCTTCCGAAACGAGGTTCGTTCTCAAAATATTTTTGACTCAGTGAATGCTTTATGCGACCTAAAAAGACAAATTCCTCGATAGAGTGGCCCCTTTATAAGCTTTCGTTTTATCTTCAAATGTTTCGGTGCAGATTTGTTGAGTTTCACGCAAAATTTGATAGCGTACCGTTGTCTGACATTTCGCTCCATCGCAAACGTAAAGAGGAGTTAACGCACGACCTTGCAGCAACTGGTGTAGTGCGTGAATGACTCACCCGGTCAAGTTGTAACAAGTCTGTAGACATGCAGCTGAGAACTCTACTCATGCGCTGAAATCCACCAATGGGGTTTTATCTAGTCTATTAGCACATACGAAAAGCAGTGCACTTACTATTGAGACACACCCGGATAGCACTGCTCGACAAACTGAATACGCCAATTCGTAGCCCACCCACCATATGTACCGGAAATGTACAAAAAACGGGATTGTGTCCTGGCAACCAATGTATTGAAATAATTAGGTAGATGGAAACTGCGTGTTGCCCGCCGAAAAACACTGCACTCCATGACTCGTTTAGATCTCATCAAATAAAGATAGCAGGCACGCAGGCACGCAGACATGGAGCCTCTGGGGTACCAGCAGAAATATCTACCCCGGAGCCAATGAGTCACGAGTGGCAACTCTTGTCGCGGCGGTTAATATCTGGTTGGTGGGTTATTTGGGGGTATAAGTCCTGTGAATGGATTACAATGCGCAACCTCAATGTTGAGCGCAAAGTACATTGCAGTGAATCTTGGTCATTTCGATCGGTGAGACCCTAACTGGTGGTAACACTAGAAACGTCCACAGCTCCATCCTAGAACACTTAGTTGACATAACATACAAAGGAAAGAGACCTTCAAATCAAGCTATATTCACATAGCTATTGTACATAGCTATTTTCTCAAGACATTCTTTATATCCCGCCGTCTTCTGTCTCACCGGGCTACGGTTTTCTTGTGTAGCATTCGTCGAGCCGCTACACATTTCACCGTCTTCACCGACCACAAGCCATTGATCTACGCAATCAATGGCGCAACAGACAAGTACTCGCCGCGGGAAACTAGACACCTAGACTACGTTTCTCAGTTTACGACAGACGTACGTCATGTCTCAGGTGCTCTCAATCCCGTCGCGGATGCGCTTTCACGCATTCAGCAGATCAGCTTATCGCCTGGCACCAACATTGATCTAGCCGCTATGGCTGCTGCCCAACAAGCTGATCCCGACACAGACAAACTACGACGCAACACCTCGTTAAAACTACGTGAAGTCCCACTAGCTTCATCTGAGGGGACCATTCTTTGTGACGTTTCACAAACTTCTCCCCGACCCGTAGTTCCTACCTCAATGCGTCGACTAGTTTTCAATGCTTTACACAACCTGTCTCATCCCGGCATACGTGCTTCGCAGAAGCTCGTAACGGAACGCTTCATATGGCCCAACGTCAATCGCGATGTCCGCCTTTGGGCACGCGCATGCTTAGAGTGTCAGCGCGCCAAGGTCTACAGACACACCAAAAGCCCACTTGGCGTCTTTCCCGCTCCTGACGCTCGTTTTGCACACGTCCATGTCGATCTGGTCGGACCTTTGCCTCCATGCAAAGGCTACGTGTACCTACTCACCTGTGTCGACCGATTCACTCGTTGGCCAGAGGCGATTCCGTTAGTCAACTGCTCATCTGAGACAGTTGCGCAAGCTTTCTTAGAACGCTGGGTAGCTCAATTCGGTTGCCCAAGCGTAGTCATCACTGACAGAGGATCACACTTTGACGGATCCTTCAGCAAACTGCTCAACGTTCTTGGTTGCCAACATAACCGAACCACCGCATACCATCCCGCAGCTAATGGGATGGTAGAAAGGTTCCACCGGCAACTCAAACTCCTCTATAGTGGTAAGTAGCAGCAAAACGCAGCACAAAACGACTCAGGAAGCTCCTACTGGTCACCGCAGAAGCAATTGCGATCAAGCAACTGAAGCCGGAACTGTGCAAACAACGTGTACTTATGCAGAGTTTAACCCTACCGTGGCCCTAGCCTGGTTGCCTGACTTCTGACAAAGTGGCCAATGGTAGTGGTTGCAAATAGACATAGACTGCCACCGTTCATCCGATCGCAGCATTGGCGACATTGTGTCGCATCGCTAGTAATAGCCACTACACAAATGATTACGAAGCTCATGACTGTAATTGCCTGAAGTGATTTATCGAGAAGAAATTTCTGCGCAATTTGCTTTTGCAAATCAGGTCCACGCAGAAGACACTGTAGTCCACTCGCCAAGAGAGGAACGTACCAATGTTAACCCGCTGATTGACTCTGGCTTTATAAGTAGTTTGACGCGCACACTGACCATAAGAGTAGTAGAGGGCTTGGAATGGTGGAAGTAGAAGTTCTTCTATCAAGGTTCTTTCAGAGAGCCATCACATGCCCTACAAGTGACAGATAGATGTGAGCTTTGACGATTCCCGAATGAATGAAACGGCTGTATAGTACTTATCCGGACCTGTGATGGGTGACTTGTCTTGTGCCTTGGTACCCCAGTCTCCTCAAAAGAAAGAGCTCACACCGCTCTGCGCACAAACGTTCTATTCACAACTCTGAGATAAAGTGCAACAAGCTGCAAATTTAAAAAGGCACTCGTCCGCTCGCTCCATCGCCTTATCGACCGCACCGAGGCAGGCGATTCGGTTCGCCCCAGCTTTCAGCCACTATCACATCCTTTCCTTTTTCTTTTGTTCCCGTAGTTCTTGTGTTGCAATTTCCATACCCTCGTCCACTGCGGACGAGCTTGCCGTCTATCCTGTGACTGAATTGGAGTTGCACTAGACTGCTACCGAATGCGGTAGAACGCGTATTTCTTCCCAGTTGCATTAGATAAGGATCCTCATGCGTCGCTCTGACTTCGATAAGTTTATTGTTTGCTTTCTTGAGGGCGTCCATCACAGCCTTCCTCTAGGTGCACCATGAAGTCGTTCCGCCTTTTGTGACAACTCTGTTTCACACTACACTGCGTTCCACCGTATTGTTTCCCGGGCGACGTACTCACGGTGGCTCTTGTATCTGGGGTATTGCAGAAATGCAATGTTGATCTTGATTTTCCAAGTTATTTGGTAATGGCTCTTGTGACTAATGAGCGCTTTTAGGCTCGACTGAGCGATTCTCGTCCATTCGGCGACAGTGGGTAAAAATATGCGATCGAACTTCACAGTATCCTTCAAACGCTCGATTATTTCCAAAAGATCCGGTTCATTGTCCCAAAGATCCCTGGCCTTCATTATCCGAATGGCTTCAGAGCCGATGGAGTATCTGAACATTGCCAACTGGATCAACGCCGCGAATTCCATCCAATCCGCCTTCCACGCTTGCCATTTGTCCGACAATGTGCTTTCTCCCATCTCTACAGGGGTTGGCAATGAGATCATTGATTGCCCCTCAATGGCGAGCAAGTTTTGGCACATTTTTACCTCTGTCAGCATGTTTTGTGCTTGGGTTCCCCAGTCGCGTCAAAAGAAAGAGTTCACACCGCTCTGCGCGCAAACGTTCTATTCGCAACTCTGAGACAAAATATAACAAGCTGTATAGTTAAAAACTCACTTGTCCGCTCGCCCAACCGCCTGATCGACCGCACTGAGGCAAGCGATTCGGTTAGCCCCAGATTTCAGCTACCATCACATGACTGAGTCTAGATTTGTTTACATTTCACATAAACCACTCAAATCCCTTTTTTAACATTTGGACATGTTCGACAGCAGCGACCAGCTATTTAGCATGAGAGAACGCGATTTCCCAGCTACCGCCGCCTGGTTGGTTGCTGTCATGCGTAACCAACACTCGTCTTGTGACATTTTAAAAGCCATGGCCACTACTGTTTAGTAAAAGAAAGCAGATACTTTGAAGTAGGTTAGGGAGTTCTTCCGGGAATCGACCTTTTCCGAGGTCCAACATAATTCGGGAAGGCACAGGACAGTCAGTTCGACTGAGTACCATTTATCGACAGCGCAGTATGCATTTTAACAGTGCATGATCCGAAGCAATGACATTTCCATTAAGGTGAAAGGATTCAGCTACGATTATCAACCACCGTATCTTGCCAGCTGGCGATTCGCCTTCCTAAATCGCAGAGAAAGGTGCTTGGTTCACAAAGGCACGATCTGCCTCCCGAAGAAACCTAGTACACCAGAAGCAACAGAATTATCGTCATATCTGTTTATTTGCCTAACCAGATAAGATGATGTCAAGTTCAAACCCAAGTGTGTTTTTTGGACTCTATGTTCCATTTTGCATATTTATTTTACAGAAGAGTCTTCCCCTCGTTATCCGTTGATGTCTCAGGGCTGCACCCAACGGACAAGTATATATTCGCTCTTGACATGGTTTTAGTACAACCGCATACTTATCGTCACCAAGGGGGTCAATGGCTTGTCTCAAACCAGTCGGAGATCGAAAGGACGCTAAGCGGATCAGGCAAGTTTTACTCCCGCTAAACTGTCTCGCATTAGTTATGCACTTTAAGTTTACTACTTATTTTTCTATAAGTAGTGTCACTTCCGAATATTTACTTCCCTATCTGATTAGAATTACCATGCCCCACAATTGTTTTGAAGCTGATTCAGCAAGTGCGTTTGAAAATCACACCATTTTATTGGATTGAAATGGAGCATAAAACATCCTGTGGACCTGGTAGCGGGTTCAAAATAAACCCTGTTGACATTAGGAAGAAGTCCTCGTGTTTCTGACTCAAAAGCTTGACCATTCATGTTCTGTCAGCCTTACATTAGGCCAATTGACCGAACTTTGTGGGCTCTTTGGAAGTTCGGCAGTATAGATGAAAAATAGCACTTTTTGATTGCCTAGTTTTGTGCACCAGGTTACGCGCGGATTATCTGAAGAGATCATTTTTCCGAACTAAGAAGTAGGAGACAGAACTCATATAGTTTGCTGCACAGTAAACAATGTTTACAAATAACCCAAACGGAAACGGGAGACCATACCGATAATTAAATGGAGGCGCTTGTGTTTGTTGAGCAAAAGGATAGTTTCAAGTTAGTAGAATTCTGACCTACGCCAAATGTACTCTAGCTATTGTACTGCAACACTATTCATTAAGTCTAGGTTGAACTTGAAATCTCCAACGTACTAGACCGAAAACTAGCTTTTTCCTTTTGCCGGATAACAGTACGCAAACCACATTTTAACGAAGAGTTAATAATTTGTGTTGTTATTATGATTTTAATAAGACGACAAAACGTAACATCTATTCAATTAATGCAAACCTGTTTGCGTGTAGTGGATGACTTACTTACTCTTGCTAGGGGTCAGAGTTGGTCAAACGAAAAGGTGTGCTTTCTTTGGTCCACTATTTTGGGAATAGTTAGTTTGCAGCCCTATGTTGACCGCATGTAAGGGTGCGGTTAGCTAGCGATGACTAACTCGGCACTCGTACCGTTTAGGCCTAACTCATTCAACCGCATACCCACTTGTAATCTCTATCTTTCTCAAGAGACTGATTTTTAACCTCATCCAAATACTATTACAAAACCCATCCTGGAAGACCACCCGCCTTTGAATATAGCCACTAAACCAGTGTCGAGCGGATTTACCCGTCCGAAATGCGAACAAACTTGCGGGAGCTCGACTGGTTGATCTAGACAGTGATGAACCATCTGTCAATTCGCATAACCGCGTGACCCTCCAATCCCTGCTTGCTTCCACCGTGAGCGCGAATTTATGGTGCATTTGTGTTTCACACTCTCGTGTGTCAGCTGACAAAATCTTGCTGCAGTAGTATAGATTTGCGGAGGTGCTGTCTTCCAACACTACACTCAACGACCGACCGGTTTCTTCCTGATTTGGACTCGTCAGGTAGAGGTAGCCCGATATAACAGTAGAATGCGCCACATTGTGACTCACTGTTTATCTCCTGGTGGCTGTAGCGCGAGCAGTGCCATTGTTCATACACAGTTCATAGTAGGGTATTGGAAAGATTAGACCCATTGACGTATACCAGAAGTCATCATGTAGATGGACTCCTTTGCTTAAATAACAAGATTATCTACGATGGATATCTGCTGAAACTTTTCAACATAATGAGGCTGGACAGTTATATAAAATTGTCCGAAGCAGGTCACCTATTTCTTTTCAGTGAAAGTTCTGTTTTTCATATCGACTGGAATGTCAATGTGCAGTCTAGGCGTCCAGACAAAACTGTTCTTAAGCAATTGTCTTCAAAGTTTTGCACTAAAACAGGGATAAATAACCCATTATTGTTGTAATTGTGTGAATCCCTTCACGTCTTGGCGCGCGATTATTAGAATTCATTGTGGGGGGGAAGGAAGTAGGGTGGTAACGAGTGCTGCTTTTCTAACTGTGTCCGCATTCGGTGAAGATTTCTGCCGTTTTAAATACCATGGCTTACTTGAGGTTTGAATCAACATCAATAACAATCAAACGGCGTCATTTAGCGCGTCGTCCTTAAGAAGATGGAGCAGGTGTTCGCAACTTGGGCTTTAAACATTCTTACAGACACAGATAGTGGTGAAACGCAAAGTAGATTCCTAGTAGTGGGAAGAATAAAAAAGTTTGCAAATAGCATCGTTCAGTAGCAAGTCAATATGAGTGGTGATTAGGCAAATGGTTCTGTCATATTTGTTATGACTTGCAGAATTCGCCGGTTGGTTAATAGTCATATATGGTTGTAGCACTTTGGGTTTGAAACTCAGACAATCAAAACGAGCCCAATTCATTGAGATGTGGTTGTCGATAAACTAATGAAGACTTCTCCCAAGTAGCTTGTTATTCTTTGACTTCATTCAGCACTTACCCAGTGAACTCACAGTACCCTTAAGTAGGCACTATGTGCATGACAACGATATTCATCTGGGTATACTTACCAAGCTTGAAAGAACTACTATTGAAATTCACTTACAATGTCCAATTCCTTTATGACGGCATCTAGTACAGACAGAATGACAGAGTCGCAATGGGATCTCCACTCAGACCTGTGCTGGCGAATTTTTTCTTTCCAAGCTAGAAAAAGAATCATTGAGTCCATTCATAGTTCGTTTCGACCCATACTATCAAGATATGGACGATATCTTTTGTGTGACCAACAAGGATTTAAGTGTAAAAGATATAGTGGTGGAGTTCAGTAATGCGCACTCGACAGTCAAGTTCACGTACGAACTTGAACAAGAGAGCTAGCCCTCGTTTCTGGATTTACATCATTGTAGACGAAATGATGATTCCCTATTAAGGAGGATCAACAGAAAGAAAAAGTGGGCTGGCCAATATAAAACACTCCGGTAGTTTTGTACCGTTTAAATACAGGCGTAGCTTAGTGCGCAGTCTCAAGTCGAGGGCTCGAGATATCAGTTCTGAAGATGTTTTAGATGAGAAAATGAAATGCATACAGACCACGCTACGTGAAAATGGCTATCCGGATGGGTTCATACAGCTTAAAATGCAGCTCAGCATAACATCGGACGTTGAGCTGGTATCTGAAAAGAGCGCTCACTTCATTCGCCTTAGTTTTAAAGGCGATACAATTGCGAAGCTTATAACAAGGAAACTGACGCAATCAGTAAGTACACTTTTCGAGCTGGTGAACTGCGGTGTATCTTTGCCACCAAATCGCTTCTTCCTTTGGGCAATAAGGACAGACCGTCCAAACCGACCCCCTCTCACATAACCTATCGAATTGAGTGTACCTGTGTGCAGCGTATATAGGTCGAACGACCCACCAGTTGTCATATCGCGTTTAGGAACATAGTCCTAAATGGTTGGCGAACAGAGGCATTGGAGTTTTGGCAAACGCAATTTTGTCCCACCTATTCTAATCAGTTCACAGGGTTAACCTCCCCAACACATTTACTGTGAACATTTTGCTTCGTTCTCCGAGCTGAGTAATTTAACGACAAATGTTTCACCACTTCGCTCAGTGGCATCTTCAGTGCACTGCTCTGTAGAGGAAAATCTCACGGAAAGTGTCGTCGGGAAGTAACGTTTGAACTTAGTCTCTTCGATCTGTGTCCCATAACCTCTGTTTGCTCGATATTTGGCGGTCCAGTTTCACGCTTTCTCAGCTGTAGGTACACGGAACCGAGGTCAATGCGGAAGTTCAGGGAATTCTCCCTAGAGAACCATGTCCCAAGGAATTCCCTTCCTTTTCTTGTCCCTCCGTGCGCCAGATTTTCCCAGAACCTCCGCATTGACCTCGATCCCGTGTACCTACAGCTGAGAAAGCGTGAAACTGGACGGCCAAATATCGAGCAAACAGAGGTCAAGGGACACAGATCGAAGAGACTAATTTCAAACGCTACGTCTCGACGTCACTTTCCGTGCGATTTTCCTCTACGGAGCAGTGCACTGAAGATGCCACTGAGGGAAGTGGTGAAACGTCTGTCATTAAATTACTCAGCTGGGAGAACGAATCAAAACGTTAACTACCAACCTAAGCTACAGGTATTCCGAATCATTGCAAACATTTACTGTGGTTTACCAGGTCCCCTTGAACAAGTCGAAAGGTCTGCGTTTATGAATGCTCGCCACAGCAGAAGCTATTGCAATCCGAATATTTCGACCTCCGCTATGCTCGCAAAAGAGGTTTGCTCAAACGCTAAGTCTGCCCTGGCCGAACAGCAGTCAACCCAACTGTCACTCTGACACCGGTGTCGTCAGTTTGATTACATAACCCTGTCTATCTCTTTGTGTGTGTGTATGTGTGGAAGACAGCAACCAACTATCTGCTATCTAACCATTGACCTGCATCTGAACCAATCACCGTGCATTAACCTTCGCATTTTAATCTTATATGCTTTGTACCGGCCCATAGATTAATCATTGAAAACAATTGTTTGTTTCAGACTGGTGCTCTTGATGAATCGCCGAGAAGGTTCTAAATTTAGAGAGTTCAGTTGCTTAGCCAAGCACGTGGGGAGGATTAAAGGTGTTACACGCAAGGATATAAGTGTTTTAAGCGTTCTGAACCCGGAAGAATGTCGAGCACTGACGATCTCAAACCCAAAATACCTTCTAAATCGACGACGATCATGTCGACTGAATCCTTGCTGCCATTGAAGGGAAGCGTTGTTCGACAGTTCGCAAAGTTGCTAGCGAAATGGGCATCAGCCTAGGACCAATTATCAGATTTTTGTGGCAGACTTCACATGCCTCATGTCAGTGTAAAATTCGTACGTGTTTGTTGACTGATAATCAGAAACAGAACTGTGCTGAAATCAGTCAGGAACTGCTTGTCACTGTCAATGTCAATGCAAATTTGCTTAGGAAAATTATGACGGGCGCGAAGACTTGGGTTATGGCTGTGATATTGAAACAAAGGTGCAGTCGTCGCAGTGGATGCGGAAAGGGTCTCGTTGTTCAACTAGACACACAAAAGTCGGTCAATGATCATGGTGATGTTGATTGTGTTTTCTGAGCTGAGAGACATTGTTCATCAGGAAGTTGCGCCACGTGGTCGGATTTCAAACAAAGAAGTCTACCAAGGAATACTAGCACGTTTGAGGGATGCTGTGGGCAGAAAGTGATTTTCACTGTGGGGGAAAACACGCTTGCATGTTAAATCATGACAACGCACCGATTCCCGCATCGCTGCTTGTCAGTGGCTATCTAGAAAAACGTCAAACTCCGTTGCGCCCCTTCCCCCGTGTGATTATGGTTGAGACTTGGGGCAAATGGAATTGTTGCGATGGACAGAGAGTCAAGCAGACATCACCGACGAGAAATTAACGCTGATGACGTGTCCAGCCCAGCGCAAAGGAGAGGATAGGTGGCTCCGAATAGTTAAGAAGTGGATTGGTCCGCACAGCGGGGAGCAGATGGTATCCTTCTCAGTCCAGGTACACAACGTAGTGCGCTGTAACAGATGGTCAACTGAGGGAGCATCAGTCAAGTGGATGGATGGCCAGTCCGACCCACCCATGAGAGCCGATTATTCAGTTTAACCGGGGTGCAGCAAAGGGGTTCAGTGCAACTCTACGCATGGTAGGCGTATACCTGCCCGTCTGACCAGTAATAACAGCCAGCCAGTGAAATGTACATTGTGTATATTGTGTACTCTATTACTAACCACGAATCTTCTTAATAACGAAGTCGTGATCACCGCCCAGACTTTGCTTTTGATTCCCGGAGGGCTACTCAGTACACTGTATTCTCTGGATCTTGCCCCATTAGACTTTCTCTTGTTTCCAAAACATAACTCCAAATTGAAAGGACCTCGTCTTCAATTCATAGAGGAGACTCAGGGCAATGCAACATGAGATCTGTGCGCCACCCTAGAGGGTGACTATCAGGAGGCTTTCCAAAATTAGAAGCATGTATGGAACGGTGTATTGCTGATAGGTGGGACAGCGCTTATTTTATTGTAAACTGAGCAATAAGGATGATTTAGCAAAAGATCAGCTTCTTTCTAACCTACCTTGCATATGAGGCTTCCAAGCTCATCTGTACACACACGCAAGGCCATTTGCGGCAGACACACTGGCGAGCAATAAAAATGTTTGATTAGGAAGAGTAGAATGGTGGAACGGGCTGGATAGCTTCAGACTTCATTTTATATGCATTTGACAAAGGTCATAACGATGGGTTAATGCGGTGATGGATTACGTGGGTTTAAACCACATTGCAGAGCCCTAGAGATTCTCCTTTTGTCTGGGTATGAAAATATTATAAAATATAGTTTCACCTTGTGTTTACGCAAAGTAGAAAGATTGCCTGTTGGAACGTTGGCTTCATGTGCTTGAGTCAACCGGACGGATCGCACTTCGCGCGCTCTGGTTTTCCGCCTCGAAGGGTGCTCAAGTAGTCTGCAATGGCGACCACACTTCTTCTCTTAACTAGAAGTAGTTTGTAGTGCCTTCTAGCTGGCAGGACTGTACGTTTGGACTATAAACGTGTGTCTTGCCTAGTTATTCGTCTTCTTTTCTCTAAGGCGGGTAAAAACTGGGTTGATAGTGGCCGATCCGTTGGGGTACAACTCTTTCCCGCTGCCAAATAGAGCGTGGAAGTGCAGATATAACCTTTTGGATGCCTACCCTACGCGGAAGCATGTTCCCAGAAGAAGGTTACACCCATGACTGCATTACCTCAGTTAAACTTTGATCATATCTATCCTCATTCTGCCACTCCTTTCGAATATATAGACGTAGTCGACCACTCTGAACACTTGTTGTAGGAACCGCTAGACAAATCAATAAGACTGGTTAGTGGACTGTATGTCGTGCAGTCGAGAAGTATACTGTTTATCTATATGTATTTACTTAAAAACCAAAAACCAACGAATGTGATCGATGCGGCTCTAGCTGAGTTCCCAGTTGAAAAATTCGGCACTCCTGAATTGCATACCTTCATTGAAAGTTGTGATGTGTTTTTCTTTCAACAGTCATAAAAAGTCCGATTATAGAAAGGAAGGTTTTATTATCATGATAATTGCATCATACCCACAGAAGCTTCATTAATTGATTTCTGCGGAGTAAATTTACATTTTAACTTTGATTGAGCTTATGGTGGCTAATCGCATGCGTTCTTGGATTTCTTAAACTTTAGAACCTGAGCTACTAAATTTGGGCATTGAAAGGTCGGTAGTTCTTTTATATCTGGGTACCTGCGGTGCATATATTTGATTTGTGTAGTTTTGTTGCACGGATGGTTCTCTATTACCACTGTGTAGCCATTTTTATTCACAAAGACTTCGCAACTACGGCCCCTGGAGGATGCTCCCATTCGCCGCCAGCTACGAGAGTCCAGAAAAGGAGTTCTAATAGGTGGGTTGTAAGTCGATCACACTTAAGATAATTTAACTGATAAGTGACCAAAACTGTTTGCGGTTTATGCCACAAATGTGGAGTAGTTACACTTGGGAACCGTTTGTATCGAAAAAATATTACGCATCAGTAGGGTTATAGGTGATCCTGTACGCCAGCGTACATTTCTATTAGCTGAAAGCGTTTTGGATCCAGAATTCTCTTGGTACACCAACTGTACTCACTGGGACGAACTATGACCACTTGAAGACGGCAATCAAAAGGAAGATGCTAAAGAATATACCACTTTTTGAAATGTACCACTAAGTGTAATTCCTGTGCATGTGTACTAGTGTGTTAGCTTTATTCTGCAAGAATTGCACATGATCCGTTTTTCTAATCCGACCGGACTTTTTTATCAGTTTACGTGCAGGAGGATTCACCAAAATCTGGCGCGTCTTGGATGGAAACTGGTGTCAATTTTTCCAGAGTAAAGATTACGAACAGCAAAGAGCAAACGAAAGCGCGCATGGTAAGTTTCTTTTATTTGTTTCTCACTTTGAGCTTGTTCAAACCCACCGAAAGGACTCGGGACACTGGCTACTGCGTAAACCATCTCCATCAAAAATCTGCAACCGGAATTGTGCCAAGTACCGTCGCCAAATATCAGTCAGCCTACTTTTGGTACATTGATCTATGGTTGTGTGTGCGAAATTAGTGACTGACTGAAATTAGTGACTGACTCACAAAGTGAACACGGCATAAATGTACTGCGCTAGCAATGGCTTATCATCCCAACGATAACGGAGCTCATAATTTTATTGGTCCGACGAGAATTGCTTAGAACGATTTTGTTCGCAACTGTCAATTGCTTCACTATTCCCTGGGCATAATTTACGGGGGGAAAACAAGGATTTGTGGACTGCCACAGCATTGAATAAAGGTGGATAGCATTATTGTTCCGCAGCTTTTGAAAAGCTGCATGAAATTTCAGTCGGAATGAGTCTCAGTGATCAAGCACTAGCATATGATCATTTATGGCTATTGTAGAAATAGTAGGCAAATCAAAAACACATTGTAAGGTTTAATGCGCCGCAATCGCAAATCTCCCTGTAATATGGTAGCTGCATATTGCGTTACTGCGTGCATTTTCATCATTAGTAACGCCGTAGTACTATTATGGAATGCATACAATTACGTATGTGCACCATCACTAGGCAGCTGACGTTCCCGAGCGGCTACATCGACCGAAGCATTTCAATTACAGCTACCAGATAAGTAATACGTCGGCTCTGAGCGCTGTCTCTGCCAAAGCATCTTGGCTGCTGTCGAAGCACTAATGGCAGCCTTTTCCTGTTCTGTATTTATGTCGTTGTGGTAGTCTCAAACATAAAAATGGGAAAGCATGATTACATTTTCTGGAGGCATCCTATATAGGCGAAACACAATTACTGAATCCATCGTCAGCCTAGCTCCTACAAGGTGGCGATCCTGACATGATTCAAACAAGCTGCTTCTGCAACCTTACCCACAGCTTGATCAGATGTTTGCATTTCGCATTTTGCCTACAATGGAACAGTGGTATAATACAGTCAAAAAGCCTAAACCACCAAAAATCCGTCGGGAGGATCTGGTTGAAATGTATGTGAATTTGTAGAAAAACGATGTCAAAGGATTTTATCTCGCACCTTCAAACTCACCATACCATTTAAATGAACACGAATTTACCCACTTCGTTATACTGATGTAAACGCGAAGGTACCATCTGAGATTGAATCAGCAAGGTTACTGAAATATCCGTTTCATGATGGGGTTTGCATAATGTTAGCGAGACGGAGCACCATATGTTATATTACAACAGGAAAAGAAGTAAGAGGATACAATGAAACTATTGTCTCCCACTTAGTTCGAAGCTAAGTGATTTGACAATTGCATGTTAAACGGTACAATGGATTCTGACTCAAACTCGGCCGTATATTTCTGGTAACCGCATACAAAAGGTCATTGAAACGGACTAGATTTTAGTTGGCGCCATCCTCGCCACCATAAAGCCGGGCTGTTTTTGTCATTCTAGCTGTGCACTTCAGCCAGTAGGACAGCTTTAGAACTGACCAAACGATGGAAAAGATTTCCAACCAAGCAAATTGCATTCGGTACGCCACCCACTCCTTTACATAAGTACTTCCTGGTCAAGAAACCTGAGTTTATCAGGAGACATCCTTCACAATTTTGTTGTCCGAACATGACTATGGTACAATGGAACAATGGCGTATTACGGCTAAAAGGGAAATACTTAGCAAGTCTCGTGGGATGGAAATTATTGCGAAGTAAAATTTTATGATCAAGTGGAAAGCATTTTGATGGACACACCGTTGACTTATTTAGAAGATCGGTGATTTTAGCGTATTAAAAGTAGAGATACATCATTGTTATTGGGTTTGGAGACGCTCCGTTTGATTGCGTTTTGTAGCCCTCTGGCTAACAAGTTATAAAATAAAATGCAAATGAGACAACGCCCGGTCAAATAGTTTTTTAAATAGCACTAGATCGTGGGCAGAATCGACATAATTTAGGAGAGCGTTTCAAGGCTGACATACTCGGAGGAAAAAAGATTTCGACGGCATTCCATTCGGCTATACTATATTGTCTGTTTCAGATCATGACCTCTTAGGTTAGTGTTGTGGTTAAATTCCAGTAGCGGACGGCAAATGTGGTTTGGGTTCTACAGAATCTAGCAAACCATTATGTGATCCCCAGCAGAAGTCGATATTGACTGCTGTATATTCTTAGGGAACTTCAGTCTACGCTGTCAGATGGAAGTTCATGTTCGCCCTTCTTTGAGGAGTCTCGAGAGCAAGGAGATCCTGTTTCTGCCACGGGTATCAGGCTTGGATGGCGTATTCCACGTGCGGTCGCACGTAGGCGTTAAGCATTTGGGGGAATATTGAGGGGTCAAACCTACCGTACGCTCTGCGGAGAAGACCAAAGTATTGATTGCCAGTTCTCAAGACCTTTTCTGCTTGCTTTGAACATCCGAGATCTTCCTGTACCACTGCACTTAGTTCACGCTCTTGGGAGGCATTTTGCAAAAAGTATTCTCCAAGCTCACTAGCTGGCGACACAGTTGGATCACCTTGCACTTAGCAGTGTTCAACTGAAGTAGCTTCCTCGTTAACCATTCATAAATGCCATCTAGGTCAGGTGAAGTAGATAGTGATCTTCATTGTTTTTAATCGCCCGTCATTTCTTGATATCACCGGCAAAAGCAGGAAACTTGGGGGGCTAACTTTTGCCAGATCGTTGATAAACACAAGGAACGGGCGCAGTCCAAGCATCGAGCCATGTGGGACACCGCATTCCATCACAATCGAGTTAGCGAGTGTTCCCCTAAGACGCATTTGAAGCCTCCGATGGCAAATAAAGTTGCCGATCCAACCAAGAACAAGATATTCGATTCCGTAACTCCGTACCTTATGAAGGAGGATTTGGTGATCCAAGTGATCGAAAGATTTAGAGAAGTCCAGATGGATGACATCAACTTCGACTCCACTGCCAGCTATTTACGTCCAACTACCTTGTGACGTTAGCATGTTTTTGCTGCATGACCGGTGTTGACGGAAGCCATGCTGCACCAGTGCCAAGATGTTGCCTTTTTCTTGGTGGTCCATTGGAGCCTCAGCGGTGCCCCCTTGTATCACCTTCGCGAGCAAAGGGAGGAAAGTCACTAGGCGATAGTTTGTAAGGTCTAAACGGCCATGTCTCCACCTAGTGGGGCTTTCCATTCAACGAGGCCTCTTTGGAAGAACTGTGACAGTGGTTCTTCTAACTTGGTGGCCGCAGCCTTCGGTGCTTTCGGGCAGATGTTGTCTGCTCCCGGAGAGCTATGATTGCGCAGTGACAGTAACTTCCTTGACACACTTGCTGAGTTGAAAATAACATGTATAAATCATGGAGTGGGTACTGTGCTTAGTGTTATGTGAGAGTTAGAATCTATGAGTTCAAAAATTGGAGTGTATTATAGCCGAGGAGCATTGGCAGCTTCTTCGGTGCGTGGTACTCTAGCGCCTGTTGTGAAAAGCGGAGGGATGCCATGCTTTAATTTACGATGACTGTTGCCATGCCTCTACAGTAGTTGCTAGAAACATTTAACTAAGCGATGTTGATAAGTTAGTTTGTCTTCATGAAAAAGTGTAGTGCAATGGTTGCGATGAATCAGGAAATTGCCCTAAGTCTCTGAGTCGGGGTTAACCTTGCAGACACGCCAAGCTGCATCCCTTATCGCCATGCGATTTCCGGTTCTGCTCCTTAGAATTGACGACACTTTTGTGGACCCAAGGGGCTTGGTCTATGATGCTCTGTTGAATATATCCCATAGTCTTGTAACGAACTTTGTCCAAACGTTGTCAAGGGACTGTTGTTAGAGAATTCCGAAGTGGATGCCACGACGAGTTCTTTCACTACTTGGTAGCATGTGACTGTATGAGTTAGTTCCGTGTGTTTAGATGGATACTCTGCAAAACAAACATGGTTGAACGTTATCACTACATGGTCGATTAGACCTAATGCACTCGCACTCAGGAGCTATTCATTCATGAGCATAAGTTCTAGTATTGACGTTTTGCTTGCTGTTCTGAATCTAGTGGGCGTGATGATATGATTGTACAAGGAAATATTAGTGAGAAGTTCATGCAAGTCTGCTTGGTACTGTTCACTGAATGATGCCGATAACTTGAGATCGTGTAAATTGAAGTCCCCGGAGATGAGAACGCATTACCACCTTCGAGGCACATATCAAGGGGTATCCATTTCCGAAGTGGACTCTACATCATTATCTCGCTCTCTTATCCAACTCCCAAGATATATCATGAATAAATTCACAATCAGACTACTATCGATAGAAAAGGGTTGATAACTGCCCTGTCAACGCATGGGTTTTTGACCAAAGTGGAGATGACAGAGCACATCTTTTAGACAGTTGATTTTTAATATCTGCTGACTGAATGTTAGCACAGATAGCTGGCCTTTATTTAGCGATAGAAGCAATAATAACTGGTGTGACTGGTTGTATTATGTCATCCGTGCAACGGTTCTCACTTGGTTGTTTAGCGACAAGGGAAAATTGCGTTTCTCAAACAAACAGCCAATCACAAAACCGGCGATCGGCCAATCTTTCTTATTTCGATGTGGTTACACCACCGGCCCGTTAGTTGAGAGGCATGAGTTAGAAGGAAATTTCGCATTTAATACAACAATAATAGAAAAGCATCATCATTTTGTAGAGACAAAGGCCCATCAATGGATAGATCATTGTTTCTTCTTATTAGTGATATGGACTGCGCTAAAAGACTAGCGCTAGATTTAAAACGATGAAATCGCTAATCTCACGTTTCCGCAATGCAAATTAGCCTGAATGTGTACGGAATCAGGTTTGTGAATAGATACGTGGACATTGAATTCCTCTAATTGTTTTGAAACTTGTCACTGCCTAAAACGGATTCATTTTCATTATTGGAAGAGTTTCATCTTACTGGC